ATCTGTACTATCAAAGGAACTCTACCTAGTTCCCCATAGATAGCCAGATTTGTGCTTTTAGAATGAACTCCAAGAATTCGTTTAAAAAATTTCAGCTGTAATGACTCCAGTTTATTTACGATGCTAAACAATTTCTTTTGAAAAAGTTCATATGAGAAGATTCTTCCCAATAAGCACACTCCCCAGATTTCACAACCGTACAATAAGACTGGAATCACCACTGAAGAAAATAGTTTTAGTAGTGTCTTTATCGGTATATTCTCTACGTTTGAAAGTTTATCCATTAGACAATAGTAGGCTCTCAATGCCTTGTTGTATAGTGACGCTATAGCTATCTTAAAATTACCAGTGTAATGAAAAGTTAGTCCCAAGTATGTATACTCATCTACACATTCTAACTCTTTGTCACCAAAGTACCATTTTGATGAAATAAACAGTCATCTTTTCGATTGTGTTCCAAATATCAAGATTTTTGATTTTTTTAAATTTACTTGCAATTTCCATTTTTTCGTATATGTTTCAAGATTATGAAGGCAGCGTTGTAGCCCAGATTCCGAATCTGACATTATTACCAAGTCGTCAGCGTATAATTAGTAGACAACTTAACTCAGTGTCATCGAGTTTTACAGGATCACAATGAGAATTAAACAGATTAGGTATATCATTAATGAAGATATTAAACAGTGTTGGACTCAGATTACATCCTTGTTTCACTCCAATATGAGATTGAAAGAACGGGGTTACACCTTGTTCTAATTTAACCGCCGATTTAACAGAAGAATACATATTTAGCAAGATTGCAACAAATTTTTTGCTACATCCATATTTTATCAATTTGAAAAATAGGCCTTCTCGCCAAACACTATCATATGCTTTTCTGAAATCAATGAAACATGTAAAAATGGGTTTCCGACTTGATTTATAAGAGTCTATTAATGTTTTAAGAACAAGCAGATGATCAGATGTTCGAAATCCGTGTCCAAAACCAATCTGGTAATTATTCAAAATATTGTTTTCCTCTAGAAAATTGTTTAAACGCGTGTTTAGAATTAGAGTAAAACATTTCCCTAAACAGCTAGAAATACATATACCTCTGTAATTTCCAGGCTCAGTTTTACTTCCTGATTTATGTATAGGAGTTATAAATCCTTCCGACCATATTCTTGGAAAAACACCACTAGATAAAATTGTGTTAAAAAGTTTCACATAGTAAGGTGCTAAACTAGTGATTGAAGTTTTGATAATTTCGTTGTTTAGCAAGTCGCTAGAGCTAGCCTTGTTATGTTTGAGTTTTCTAGAAATGTTGTAAATTTCTTGTAATGAGATAGGTTTGTCAAGAATTTCATCGCTAGTGTTTGCCCAGAGACGAAAATCTTTTACTATTTGAGCCTCAACACGAGTTTCGTCCGAGGAAAAATTAATTTTATTGAGGTCCTGGAAATAGTGAAACCATTCATCATGCGATATTGTATTAGAACAATTGGAGTGACTTGATTTGATTTCGACATGTTGGAAGGTTAATTTTGGCTTATCCAATATTTATGCATAAAAACAGCTAAATGGGCTTCGTTGATCCTGCATGGACCCTGGTCCTGAAACAGAACTTTTCAGATATATTATTTACTTATTATACAGATATTCCGGCTGCCTAAAACAACAGCGAACATTATTCTAGAAGTAGGTGTGGGTATATATATATATTAATTAAGCAATCTATCAAGAAAACCAAGGCTATCATGCACTTGCAAGGCTACTCAAACTACCTATACACTTTGAAGCAAATCGCTTGATCGTATTTGGTAACTTGCCAATTTGCAAATCCGCCATTCTTGGTCGAGATGTACACTGTATAGTCTCCTTTATACCCATTGACAGATAAGTCAATGAAGCTGGATATACCTCGAGATATAACACTATTTCTTTTACCTTGGAGCCGAAATTCCTGAAATATTGTCTGCCTGGCTTTGCCGTAAACTTAACCGATAACCTGCTTAGCGTACTTAGCGAACATTCTCCAGAGCTGCAAGTTGTTTAAAGCCCCACCAACGAAACATTTTGTATATAAAAATAACGCATGGATTTCGTATTTTCATTTATGTGGACTACGTTGTGAGAAAAATGAACATTGTCATTGATGCAGCCAGTGCCGTAGCTAGCATTTATAGTTGGGGGGGTGTAGGCCAAAAATTTCCGAATTACGAAGAAAATTTCCGAACTTTCCAAAATTCTTGGCGACCCCCCCCCCGTCGCCAAAAAAATTTCGGTCAGTGTACCATTTTAGGGTCAAAAAATTTTTCCGGACACACCAAAAGTTAGATATTAGCTAAAAATTGCCTGAATCTCATGATTTTCGTACAAAAACCATATACTATAATTGCCGTAATTTTCCGAATGGCCATCCCATTTTCCGAATATGTCAAAAGTTGGGGGGGTTAACCACCCCCCCAATACCCCCCCTCGCTACGGCCCTGGATGCAGCCGGAGGTCCTTCCCACTGAACGAAAGCAGCATATTTGTATTTAATAACTTACAATAAAAATATTTGTTATGAGCATATATAAAATAAAAGTCATAAGTCAAGGATGTTATGAAAAGTATACAGTCACCTCAAATCTGCTCAATACAGCCAAGCGTAATGGATAATTAATGTGCGACAATAATTGGAAATTTTTTGTCTAGATTGGTGCAAACTATTGTTCCGAAGTATATAACTTAATATGCAATTTTCTTTTCTGGCAAATATGTTCTTCCTGTAATCCTGTGATAAAACTTGAGCCCTTCCTGCTCATTAAATTGTTTGAGAGAAAAAGGAAATTGATAGACCAAATCGTTTCTGCTTTTTAATATGATGTTTCACCGTCTTTATGATGTACACCTTATCCACAGATATATACTGTATTAAGGGGATCGAGACTATCCCTAACGTGAAATAAATCAAATAATGATAACGGACACGAATGATAAGTTCAGGTAACCTAAGGCAATGAAAAATTAATCACTCAGCATCACAAACGCAGGGTATGCACAGGCAAGTGCATGCTGCATGTTCTACAGGGTTCGTGGCGGTCTTTGAAATCCTTGAAAGTCTTTAAATTTGCATGCAGGTCTTTAAGGTATTTTAAAAGTCTTTGAATTGTGTGAAAATGCGAAGAAAGTCTTCAAAAGTCTTTAAATTCTGTAGTGAGTATTTGATTATATGATTTCCTAGCTGATAAAATTGGTTGAAGTAAGATTTTCGCAAATATCGACGAAAAGGTGCATTTTAGGATGTGATTTGAGAACTAAGTACCTGGTAAAAATGGTGCTTATACACTCGCAATTTTTCGACAGCTGATTGCTCTCAAAGATCTTTGAAAAGTCTTTAAAAATAGGCAGAAAAAATCTTTGAAAGTCTTTGAATTTTTTGGTCTTGGAGACTACGAACCCTGTTCTATATTTATCTCATTTCAAAATTAAGCTCGATCATTGCCAAATGCTTAGCTACTTCGATATACTTGGAACTTAAAATTGCATTGAGAATTAGCGCAAAAAATTATCCCATGACGGCATGGAATATTTCTCCGCGTTTGACGTCATCGACATTGTCATGAAAAAGGCTCATCGATTTGAAAGACTCGATGCTGATGGGTTCGGCATTTCACGTTTCAGATGTAAAAAATTAAAAAAACATTTTTTTAACTGTGTAAATTTTCTTTTTTATTTTGAGTATTTCATGCCTTTCTTAATCCGTTGTCGTTGATTTTTTATCTTTTCCAAACGAATTTACCACAGAAAGCTCAACATTGAGACATTTTTAAAACAAATAGATAAATCTAGTGAACTCGTCCGCCTCGAATGAATTCTCGTTTCCTTAGACAAAAATTACGTTTCGCGACACAAAAATTCATCATTTTTCGAGAGCAAATATTTGCAATTTATGTCTCACGAAAATACCCTTTTTTACTATACCCTCTTCTGTAAAAAATAAACGGAAATTCCGGACAATATAAAATGAAGCTAAGATCACCGTGAGATCACAAAGCCAAAGGTCAGCTATTGTCTCAAATGTCTTCAAATATTTCACTCAACTCATTGGCATTGCCAATACAAAATCCGGTAATCGGTATAGATATTTATATACTGTATCATTGCAATTGCATTAAATATATAGGGCGAGAATTTTCAATCCTCTAAAACGTATAGCGGTGATTATAGCAGCTGATATGAGTTATCTTACAAGCGTATACGCAGTGTATCAAGCTTGTCGTCACTATATAATTCAGTCGCGTTTATATAGGTCATATAGCATGTTTTCTTTGTCGCGTTTTATTTTTATGATGAAACCAAAACACAGACATGACGCAAATCACATAGTCAAGGATTTTTTTTTATTTCAACGTTTCAGTGGGACTGAATATATATTTACTTTAATTATTTTAGATCATTTCTGTCTATATAAACTATATAAATTCTTGAAAAACACAGTATAACATGCAGGATATATTACTGGAATTCGTTTTCTCCGGCAAATGTATAATTAAGATATTAGCTAACTTGAATCGTTTTGCAATATGTTTTCAGTGATATATTTATCACACATGCATGCAGTGTAGACATCTTGGCGATGGAAAAGCATAAACAAAAACACGCGACACAGTTTTAAGATTCCTAATTTTGATTTCTTGCCATATAGTGCATACTTTATACCTGTATGGGTATACAAGTCTATCTATGACTATGTAATCTCAATGCCAGTCAGTCTGCCCGTACTGAATAATGGTTATAGATGGACGGACACAGACTAACCCAAAAATACCGCGCTTAACCGGAATTAATCGGAACATTAGTCAAGTTCAAGATTTATGTATATAAATATATTTGTAGACTACAAAGCATATAGTATTGTTTATTCAACTCCCATGAAGTAGATACCTGATTTAAGAAGTTATAAGAACCATGAGCACCAACTCAGTACTAGTAAATTTTATACTATACTGAGGCCTACGACAGTATATGCGACTATAGAAAACTATAATGACAATAGTACTGGTTCTTAAACAGTCATTATAGGATCGATCATTAGCACCAAATTTATAAAGGATTAAAGCGATATTCGTTGTAAAGCGAAAACCGTATCTATAATCTATATGTCCGTATATATGAAGCGTATGCATGGAATAGTCACATCATCATTTGTTTCACACGCAACATATAAATTCAGTGAATGAGTTGTACATGTTCACATACAATTGCGGTTATAGACTTTAGATATGCTATAATTATGATATGCGATAGAAAAATCGGTGTAAACATTGTCATTGAATATTTTGAAATTGTAAATAAAGATAAGATACAGCTAGGATAAGATTAATCTTACCTGTCATCGAAGGACTGCCAGACGTTGTCAAGACAAAGTTAAAGAATACCAGCGATCTGAACAAAAAATCGAAATTTATAGTTTAGAATCACAAATAATACTGTATAAAGTTGATAAGTAATACAATTTACAGTTATTGGAAGTTTCCCTAATCTTCTCGTTAGCAGAAGCTTAATGTTAAATATGTATCGACATGCAGCATCAAGCCTTTTTCTTTTAAAATATCTTCTTACATAACATTACTTCCTATACTGACATATATGATTGATTTACTAAAATCGAACAAGTTTTAATCACGGTTTAAGCAAAACAGTTTTCTATTCTGTGGCTTGTAAATTTTTAAACGTCTAAATCCTGTCTGGAATTCTATTTATAAAAATCCTCTATACAACACAGCGACGTGTGAGCGCAAATAATCCGATGTGCGCATTGCGCAAATGATTTTCTATATATACTTACAAAGATATAGTGATCAAACCATGATCCATCATTTTGATATAACTCCCGATATTATGAACAGCACTAAGCATTGTGTACAACCGAGTTCAAGTGCGTCAAGACAGTAAATGACCAAGTTGATTAAGAAACGACTCTTTTCATAGGCTATAATCACTTATAAATAATTAAGTGGCAATAGATTATAGTCCAATCATTCATCAATGACCACAGCATCATATCAAGCCGGTAGTTGCCAAACTTTGCTGTTATCTTTGACTTGATTAAATTAAAGATAAATAAAAAATACGTGCAAATTCCAACATTGTGTGGGCTTCAGGTCAAAAAGTCTAACTGTCTAAGGCTAAGCCGTACTAGCATATAGACTAGAAGTTAGAACGTCAGATTACTCAGAAATATACGAAAGTTGACACCTTTCAGGTCGATCAAGTTCAATATTTGGGTGAGGCGCGAAAACATCACAACTAGTATGTGCAGTTAAAATCATAACCTTGCAATTAGCACACGCGGTTTAAGGATACATTCCCAGTAGTGCTCAGAGTTTGTGGTATAATCTATAAGTGATAAATGGAATTAACTCGTTTTCAAAGGCGGAAACTCGATGAAGTTTTGAAAAACCCCATGCGTGGCTTAAGCTGTAATACCTTCAACTGATTTGTCCTATTTACCAATATAAACAATCAGAAGAAAGTGGTAAGGAGCTTATTTTACAATCTGACCTACTTGGGTTTACCCAATGTTTACTGAATTATTTTTCCCTTTCTACGGCTGTTATATGCATGCGTGGGTCTTTCTAATTTCTATTATACGATATGCAGGACTCAACACGAAATTTGATTGGTTGGCGGTATACAGCTATTTCAATTAAGGTTGTCCACGAGCAAAGCGGAAAAGTCGAATACGAGCGCGAAAGGCTGCTGGGAATTGCTTTGAAAATTCATTAATTTGTTAGCGATTCCCAGCAGCCTTTCGCGCTCGTATTCGACTTTTCCGCTTTGTTCGTGGACAACCTTAATTGAAATAGCTGTATACGTAAAAGAGCATTATACTTTATAGCTCAGCGATTTGGATAGTTGACAAATATAAAAACATTGAAAAATATAAAAAGTTTGAATTGCTGTTCACTGAGTCCACTAAACTGAAATAAAATCAGAGCTTGTCCATCCGGCACAAATTGCAAGAGTCATATAGTAAAAAATTGAACAACATAAACGACGACTCAGCAAATTAAGCTTCGGTAATTGGCGTTGCTTTTACGTGCTTTTACCCGAAGATGAATTAAAAACACTTAATTACATTAAAACTAAAATGTTGTCCAAAATTTGGACTTCAAGACTGGATAGAGTAGATTCAGCGAGCCAATTGTGAAACCAGAATGTTAGTGAAAGAGAGGAGGTTTTATATCTGTCAAATTCGGCAAGCGAATCGATAGGTGATGTTGAAATCAGTTTTACTATCAAGCAAATGGCATGCAAATAACGGAAACATATATAGCTAAACTTCTTGCAAAACTCTTACGCTAAAGGGCGTCAAAAACTCCTACATGCACGGTCAAAAGTTATAATCCTAAGTTATAATCCTGAGAGTAAATAAGATTAGAAAACCGCGCGCAACTTCATTAATTTTGTAGATATTTAAACCACTTGAAATTTTGGTATTAGAAAACCGCAGTTCTCATGAACGATGAAAAATAAACTTGTTTGTATACCATAGCTGCATGCTCCTTTTACGTCACCTCATGTATTAATGACGAAAAACTAGTTTAGCCCATTTGTGCAGTATTTATTTATATTAAAGATTGTATTTTGCCTTACGTCACGGAATGTTTGCGCAGTTTTTCGTTCCCCCCATCAAGGCAAGGGGTTAAATGGGTTAGGTGCTCCTGGTATATATATATATATATATATATATATATATATATATATATATATATATATATATATATATATATATATATATATATATATATATATATATATCAATGAGGAGACCATGCTGCACTCCCGTACCACGTTACGCGTGCGCAATTAATTGTAGCCATATGCAAACCACGATTATGATAAGTTATAAATTTTCATAGCTTCCTCCGCTGGAATCTATATATTGTTAAAGAGGCGGTCCGAGTCCGTCCAGCGGATCAGTGTGCAGTTTGTTTACATTTTGAAAGCACTATATATTCATATATTAGTTAATATCTAACATCGTTCTGATTCGCTATGCTTTTAAATGAATAAATATAGATTAGAGTTTCAATTTAGAAGATGTCGAAACAACGCGAAATTTGGGTATTGTTTACACCAAAGAAACTTCCATTCCCGGATGATTTCAAATTGAAACGAAAAACTCACCTCGTTACAATCGATTCTATCTGAAAAATTATGTTTTTAGTTATGCTTTTTCTGCATTATAATTACAGTATTTCATCGGAATGAAGCCTGACTTCATGCATCTCTGCACTACGTGCGACATCCAGGAAGTTAACAGTTTTTGGATGAATTTTTAATCTTTTAAATGAAGCCGGTTTTGTAATGCCAAAATAAATAACACTCTAGTTTATCTTCATAATTATCTAACTAAGCACGTCAGAGTAAGAAAGAGCAGGCTATGTACGTGGTGCAAAATATATGGTGTTGAATATGTGTGAATGATCACATGAACATGAGATCAATTTATTAATGCTCAGTAATTGTTTTTGTTTATTTTGCATTATTGTACTATATAAACTATATAGAACATCTTCAACAACAAAAAAGCATTATATAAGTATCAATTCAAAAAAAACAGTCAAAATAATATAGAAAAAAAATTTATTATAAAGCCACTTCTTCAGAAACGATCAAATTACCTTACAAGGCCTTGTCCACAGTTTTTATAATCCTCTATATACTTAAAATTTACATAAATTAAACTAGTAATTACTTTCCTCCCTCATGTTTAATCCCAATGGACAATAACAATTGATGTTCTCTATCCAATAACTTTCCCTTTCCGTAAGGTTGATAACATCAGTATACTATCAATAATTTGAACCCCGAAGTCACTCGTACAAGTGTTGCCGACCACTAACATTTCTTATACCTTGCCCATACCTATTTAGAGAGCTTTTTGTGATTGTTAAATCTCAATCTAAACGACGTATATAATACAGCCCACATATTGCATCTTACATGCCTTACAATTAACCGGTAACTAAATAAACCACCCCCTTCCGAATTGCAGTCGAAGCGATGATTAATGTGAAAAAGTTTCTACCCTCAACATGCAACATGACTCTCAAAAGATGAGCCAACCAAAACATTATCACAAACTTTACATTTTCTACTTCCACACTTAAACATACCCCGACTGCATCTTTTTCCTTAGACAGCTTAGATCGAACTAGATGATCCTTAAGATTTTTACATTTATGGAAACCTATCATGGGTGGTTCTGGCATTACGATTAAAAAGCTATCAGACAAACCTATATGATTTATGAAATATTAAGTAGAGAGCACTTAAAGCTGGGTGATAATCAACCACGAAACAATTCCTACTTTTTGTTTCAGGACTCTCTTTAGACTTTACGCGTAAACAAACTAGTCCTACTAATCCCCTTCACCCTGCTAAATTGGCTCTCTACGAAATCTGAATCATAACCCCTTTTAACTAAATAACCTTTAATTAACTCCTGCAATCGTTTCTTAAGGTTGTTTTCATCTATACAAATGCGTTTTAACCTCAAGGCTTTGCTATATGGTATTCACTCCCTTCTTGATATGCGGTGCATGGCACGATTTAAAATTTAAATATTGATGAGCGTCAGTTGGTTTATAGAAAACACATCAGTCTGAAACGCGCGTACCATTCACTTTAATCACCCTCACATCAAGAAAGGAAATTCCTTCCGAGCTAGATTCCCAAGTAAACTTAATCCTTTCACGAAATGAATTCAGTCGAGCGAGAAAATCATTTAATTCCTTCTCACCATAAGCCAAATCATAAAAACATCATCCAAAAATCTCCATGCACCATATACCCATGCAGGGCCTAAGTTCACAGCTATCCGGCAAAAATTCCTCCTCAAGATAACCCATAAATTATTAGCATAACCCGAAGCGAACTTAATTCCAATAGCCGTACCTATATAACTTTTGACGAAACAATTTTTCATCAAACTCAAAATAGTTATTCTCTAAAACCACCTTCTCTAAAACCACCTTAATGAAACTAATTCGTCTACCGGTAATTCTGCATCCGATTTATCCATAGCCTTTTTAAGGGCTTCTAAACCTTCTTTATGCGGAATATGTGGGTATAAACCTACCACATCCATAGTACACAAAATTGCAATCGACGGTATATGTCCAAGACTTCCCAATCTCTGCAAAAAATGCGTACTATCCCTGATAATAGAGGGTATTTGCTCGACTAAAGGCTGTATTAAAATCCAAAAATTCTGAAACTCTTTCCGTGGCTGTACCGCAATTGGCGAAATAACTGGTCTACCCGGGACATTTTCAAGACGTTTATGAATCTTATAGGTAGCAAAACCAGATATTTCAAATTCTTTTCGGGAAGAAAACCTCTATATCTACCAATGGTTTCAATACCTGTTTGCATGACACGATCATTAATAAGCTCATAAACAGACTCATCATTTCATCTTAAAAGATGATTATAGGTTTCTATACAATAATCTTCCTGTCCTGTCCCAAACTACTACAGTCGATCTCTTATCCGCTTCCTTAATAACAATATCCTTATAAGTACATTTTAGCTGTTTTAACGCATTAATTTCTTCCAAAGGAAAATTACTATAATTTTTTCCTTCATAACTTAAACCGCAAACTTTTTCCTCTAACTTAGAACAGTATACTTCAATTGCGGTATCAACCTTTTCTGGTACTCAGGTAAAGGATTTTTCCTTGTGGATGTGGTAGGTTTATACCCACATATTCCGCATAAAGAAGGTTTAGAAGCCCTTAAAAAGGCTTTGGATAAATCGGATGCAGAATTACCGGTAGACGAAGGTGGTTTTAGAGAATAACTATTTTGAGTTTGATGAGAAATTGTTTCGTCAAAAGTTAGGTAGTTACGACTATTGGAACTACGTTTGCTCCGGGTTATGCTATTAGGGAGCTTAAGCATGCAAGACGGCAACACGAGGACGATGGCCAAAACAAATTCCTTCAAATAAATGATAGTAAAGAAAACTTGTCGTATATTATAATTCGTATGAACTTAATACAGTATAAGAAGCTGAAAACATTGGCTTTATGTTTGGGAAGAGTTCTACTGACCGAATTTTAAGTTGCACTTGTTACGGCTTGGAATGGAGGCGTTGTATAAAAGACGTGAAAATCTGTGATTTGCCGTTGTAAACAGAGCGACGACCACGTCTGAAATTCCCCTGGGACTTTAATTATATATTCACTTTTCATTGACTCATTGTATTGGTTGCCGTCGTCGTCGTGTTGCCGTCCTACATGCTTAAGCTCCCTAATATTTTTGTGGTTTATCTTGAGGAGGAATTTTTGGATAGTTCATGTGAACTTAGGCCCTGGGTATGGTGGAGATTTTTAATTGGATGATGTTTTTATGATTTGGCTTCATGGTGAGAAGGAATTAAATTATTTTCTCGCTCGACTGAATTCATTTCGTGAAAGCATTAAGTTTACTTGGGAATCTAGCTCGGTGTGAGGGTGATTAAAGTTAATGGTGCGTTTCAGACTGATGTGTATTCTAAACCAACTGACGCTTATCAGTATTTAAATTTTAAATCGTGCCATGCACCGCATATCAAGAAGGGAATACCATATAGCCAAACCTTGAGGTTAAAACGCATTTGTAGTGATGAAAACAACCTGAAGAAACCATTGCAGGAGTTAAAGGGTTATTTAGTTAAAAGGGGTTATGATTCAGATTTCGTAGAGAGTCAATTTAGCAGGGTGAAGGGGATTAGTAGGACTAGTTTGTTTACGCATAAAGAGAATTCTGAAACAATAAGTAGGAATTGTTTCGTGGTTGATTAGCATCCAGCTTTAAGTGCTCTCTACTTAATATTTAGGGAGTTACAACAAATCATAGGTTTGTCTGATAGCTTTTTAAGCGTAATGCCAGAACCACTCATGATAAGTTTCCGTAGATGTAAAAATCTTAAGGATCATCTAGTTCGATCTAAGCTGCCTAAGGAAAAAGATGCAGTCGGAGGTATGTTTAAGTGTGGAAGTAGAAAATGTAAAGTTTGTGATAATGTTTTGGTTGGCTCATCTTTTGAGAGTTATGTTGAGGGTAGAAAATTTTTCACATTAATCATCGCTTCGACTGCAATTCGGAAGGGGGTGGTTTATTTAGTTATTTGTAAGGCATGTAAGATGCAATATGTGGGCTGTACTATTAATAATATACGTCGTTTAGATTGAGATTTAACAATCACAAAAAGCTCTCTATTGGACTAAATAGGTATGGGCAAGGTATATAAAACATTAGTGGTCACCACTTGTATGAGCATTTCTTCGGGGAGGGGCATTCTAGAACTGATGTTATCAACCCTACGGAAAGGGAAAGTTATTGGGTAGAAAAATCAATTGTTATTATCCATTGGGATTAAACATGAGGGAGGAAGGTAATTACTATAGTTTAATTGATGTAAATTTTAAGTATAGAGGACTACAGTATAATAACTGTGGACAAGGCTTTGTAAGATAATTTGATCGTTTCTGAAGAAGGGGCTTGCCCCGAAACGTTAATAAATATATTTTTCTCTATATTATTTTGACTGTTTTTTGAATTGATACTGTATTTGTATCCTGAACTTCATTGAATGGCACGGTGGGGGAACTAGCTGAACAGGGGAGCATGTACATCTGATGCCCAACAAACTACAGGTAGACATATTACATAGTTCGGAATCACTGAGATGTTAGACACAGTTAAGCCATTGGCCCGCAAACCAAGCATTGCCCAGTATAAACAGAGTTCGTTCAGTTTATAATCTATACGTATATTTCCCGTTATAGTTAACTGCAAACGAACAACTCTACAGCATTAATCTTGAACGGTTTGTGCCAGTGTATAGGTAGTGCCAATAATAAGGAAACATCGGATCGAGTAGGGATGCAACTACCCAGTGCATTTTTTAAGGATTCTTCAGTGGTGGGGAAAAACTGCCAAAGTGTCCATTTTCCATGCCCTCCCCCAGCATAGTATGTGATCGCCGAAGGTGTGAGCAGAGTACCGCAGGCACGAGTTAGCTAGGGAGGTTGAAGCTGGGGGCATGCACCCTCCAGGAAATTTTTAAAATTTGGATCTCTGAAATAGCATTTCCTGCATTCTGAGAACACATTTTAAAAAAATCTCTCCTTCTCAAAACAAAGTTTTAATGGTGAAATTTGTAATAAATTGCATGTTAAACATTCAAACATAACATAAGTTTAAGGAGTATATGCTCACCAACAAATTTTGTTTTTTAAACTTCTTTTCAATGTTAAACTCATTTACTCAATACAGGTCCTAGGGTCCTGGCTTTGGGGCAATAGGCCATTTTTTTTCTTCAGTGGTGGGGTAGAGGAAGGAGCCCAGTGGGGCAAATGCCCCACTAGTCCATGGTATTAAAAAATGCCTTGCAACTACCTGATTCCCGACGAAGCCGAAACGTTGAAGTTCTCCTGGTATTTTTCAGCCGGTAGTTGCATCCCTATCAATCCGAAATTTCCTTCTATAGCATTATTCACTGAATGTTTTTTCTTCCATCGCAATTGTTTCCTGGCCTATACCAGCAATCCAATGTAAATAAATTGATTTTCTGCATGTCAATAAAACGTTATTCAATTAAGTAAGAATACCTGCTATAGCTGCACCCAGGAAATTCGTGTAATTGTACAAATTTATAGCTACAACAAAAATTTGCAAATTCAGACAGAACTACGGATGCACGCAGAGAACACCCACATGGTTTACCATTGTGTCATTTAATTAATGATATTAAGTGCGTTCATATTGTTCAGGGCTGAAACGCAGGTATAGCAAAGAGAACCTCTCGAGCCTGATGAGTGTTATATGTTTTTTAAATGTTTTAATATTGGTACTGCGTTAGAGGAACAAGATTTCATCAAGCCATATTTTCAGAATATAAAATAAAACAACACAGTACTGAGAGCCTGAATTGCCTCTTGTAATATACTTCAGTACGATACGACTATAAGATTAACCTGAGTCCTGAGTGGAATTCAAACGTTATCCCTAACTTATAGTAATCACCAAATTAGGTGAGTATAGTGCTGTTTTATAGAATATGTCAATATGATAGATATAATTTTAGCTTTCAACGTGATTCACCTCAATGCCAACAATTGTTATAAAATCAAGAACTATATGGCTATGTATAGGCCTACTGAGGGTCAATAATAATTCAGTGTTGGAAATGTAGTCTATATAAAACTAGCACGCAGATATCTGGAATAGATTAATGGAAATACATAAAATTTGAATAGATAGTACACTTTGATAGCGGAGCTTCGAATGATATGCAGTGGGAGTCGCCTAAATGTAGAATACTTAGAATTAACAATGCATTGAGAACACTGAAATTACTAAAAAGGAATTAATAATTCTTATTAAACACTTTTTTCATATTCATAATAATCACCTTAGGAATTAGGATCGCCAAAATCGTTCAGTTAAGTAAAATAACATGCGGCATGAGTCATCTTTTTTGGTGACTTGGATCAATCGGATGCTTTGGTCAAATTATTAATGGCTGGACTTAAAGTCGAATGATAGGATACTGATTTAAAAGCACGGTACTTTTCAATTGAAAGAAGAATAAAGTATAAATTAAGTATGAATGTGAATAATGTGCCAATATATAATCGATGTAAGGGGCTTCAACACGCCCACATGGCGGTATATTCCCTGTGCTTACGATGTTATTTTATTATAAAAGTCCTAAATTCTTGAATCTTGTTTATTCCACGACACTAATCGCGTTGTGAATAACTATACAAGGAATATGTTTGATTTCAAGAAAAACATAGGCGAATTCCTCAAATTCCATTAGGGCCTAAGTTGAGAGCACTTATTACATCATAATTCGATTCCTTCTGGAGTTGTGTAGTTGAAAAATTGAAACGTGCATGGCGGCGGGAGTGAAACTGTGTAATTCGTACCAGTGTAAGAATATGTTCAAAAATGTCAGTTCCCCTTGACATTGAACTATAGTTGATTTGTTATTTCCTTGTAGAGATCATAGCTGGGAAACAAACCTTATAGGTAAACTGAGAATGACGGAAGATGCTGTATTGAAATATACATGGCTACTATGGCTTCTGAGAGCAACGGCCAACGTGCACCGGCTAACTATATGTCTATGAAAAGGTACTCAAACGGAAGTGCTATACCAAACCGTAGAACTGTTTCTGAACTGATTCAAGCTTGTAAGACTAAAGCTGGCTGATCAATCATAACAGTATACAATATATACTCCGCACACTAGACTGACGATACTCGCTATGATATAATATGATTCAACAACTCAATTGCGGTTGACATGCATATGAGACGTTGTGTAGACTATATATAGATGTGTTATCGTATATATAATATACAATATACAATATATATATATAATATAAATATTTATTTAACAGTTATAACGTTTTAACTTCTGGTTTCATTTTTATTCAGGCGTACAAAAAATATAGAGGACTTATGACAGGGGGCAAGAAGGACAAAAGGTCACTCCATACAGGATTGTCACCACGTTTTAAGAAAAATTATTATTGTCAGACTTTTGTATTCTGTTGGTGTATTAATAAACTCTTTTGTGTTTCTTCGTTCTTTGGAAATATTGCTTTGCATTTTCCTTTATTGAGTCGTGACAGTTGTATCGTGGTAGTATATAGATTAATTTCTGTCATTCTTTGCATTATTTACATTTTTTACAATTGTATTTTGTTTTCAGTGCTCCAACAGACAATTTATATAACTGATATTTTATTTGGTAATAGGCACATTAAATGCATATCATATTTGTTTAGTGCCTTGAATAAAAATACACAGGGAGATGTAGAAGAATCGATATCGGCTGAAAAACAATGCTTGCAGTTTGTGACGGCATGATGTTCATATATACAGCATACTAAAAGTTCCAAACGTTCTTGCACAGAAGCCAGTGTCAGTGTAAACATCTATAATCTACTATAATTATTTAAGAGCTATAGATTAATAATAAGTTAGTAAGCATGTTATTTCTGATATATAACTCTGCCTGTGGCGAAATACTATATTGCGGTGCAATCTATAACGGCCTGCTGATGAAACAAAACTAATGAAACATCCAGTATATTAACAATTTAATCTATTCTTCGAATTTCTTCTCCCCTTTCCTCCTTACAATGTTGATTAAGATGAGTAAGAAAACCTACACATAGTGCTCTCTGCATGCCATCGATGAACTATTGAACACAATTTTTTAGACTCTATGGCTAACATTGTTAAAGGGGAGGGTTTTTTGTCTATTTTATTGATTTTTTATAGGAGTGTTTCACTTAACTTTTTACCAAGATTGTACATCGAATCATGCATCCAGTCATGGATGCATGATTAAACTAATGTTTAATCAAAAACACGTATCCATATTTTATATGAAGCCTTGTTTCATATCAGATTTGATATAAAATCCTACAATCTTCTTAAAAGGTATGAAATACCACGTATATTCGTATAGTTCTAAAACCATGGCGCTTTGCCTTTACACAATTTTTTTCCTGTAGGTTTCTTGTGCAAGATATTTTTTTCCTTGGTTAAAGTTCTGCTCGAATTTTTTTTGGTATTTGCCCAACCCCCCCCCCCAAAAAAAAAAAAATCTACATCCCTAAAAGCTGAACACGCCCATTGCGATTTTCGCGCTTATATAGAGGTAGACGTTTTTGCGGTTGTGAGTTTCAGCATGACCAGATGACCTTCGGCTTCAGAGGACAACCTTATAATTATTGAATTAGCTGTAATAAACATCTATTCACTGCACGTTCTCTAAAGATCTACAATACTTGTTTTCACAGCCACACGAGTATACGGGTTAAATCCAGTTTGAAAGTCTCCTATTTTTTTAACTGTATATTTGTCGAAAGATTCTATCGTGCGGAAGCTTTACACAAGTGTTTTTGTCTGCAATACTTCAAATTAAATCTATATTTTCACAACAAACAAAGAGACCGCGCGCTGGTATAAATGTCAACTATATATACAACCTTAGGCTAAGATGAAGCCCGTGATATACAGTAGGCTATATATTGACCTTGACTTGCAAACGTTGTTATATAAAATCTCCCTCTGCTGCTTGGCCTATTCAGTTGTGTTCTTTAATTTTCGATATTATTAGAATAAATTGTTCATGTACAAGAATAAGAAAATAACTATTTACAATGGTGAGGCAAACAGACTGAAAAGCTGGAAATCTAACCAAGTTGCAGGTGTTGTTTGTATAATACTGCACGGCTGTTGCCAGTTGCATAACAATACTGGCTTCATGCCCACAGCCCATTTATTGTAAATTAGAACATACCAATTAATAACATTATATTTCATTTTGTTAAATTAATGTGCATTCAGAAGTCTTTTCATATGCATACAAAACAATATTAACAATTATAATACATCATGGATCTGCCGTAGTTAATAGAAAATTAACTATATGATCTGTCCCTTCACATCTTATTTCTAATTTGGCAAAGCTAATATATATAGAGTTAAGAAAACAAAGCAGTCTATTTTTAAATATGTTCGGTTGGAATCAAGCCTATGTATTTCAGCAAGGGTAAATAAACGGCAGACATTAGCTGTAGTCTTTCAGGGGGATATTTGTGAACTCTCTGCCACCCACGTTGAGAAATATGTTGTGCGTGTACTTCAACCATATACATACATGTACAAATAGCTGCAGAATTGTAAAGTACCCTCTTTTTAATTTCCCTCGAAGAGTTCATGTTTACCTAACGAGGTTCTAATTTACGTCATGAAATAGCTTCTAATTAAGCTAATTAATTAGGACCTAGTGGTGTTTTAGCATGCTCTTACCCATGATGTATGTATATGTGTCACAATTAATGCACTATTATCTTCCAAAAATCTTATTAACGTCTATCCACCCAACCATGTTGATGACTATACCTCCCCAAATACTTCTTTTAATATGTTTTATGTATGAAAACTCACTATTACCTAATATAGACTATATATTATTATAGGTGAACTAAATTGGTCGTATATAACTGTGCTATACATGTAAGTTTAATTCATTAATTGTAAGAAAAAATAGTGAAGAAATCAAAGATCCCTTAATAGCACATATTCTGATATTCGCAGAAATTTTCAATTTATTGTCTATTGACCATTTTAAGATTATCTACTTTTTGATACATATGCGGCGTGGATGGGGTTATACATATAAAATCACCATGACATTGGCAAACGTATGTCCTTAAAGTTAAGGGCCTGGGTCCTCTGCAGATGTTTCAGTTTTCCCAGAGCACACTATGGATAATGGGTACGAGATTACCGGTCGAGAGGAAGTATTATGAGCGAAACGGCTCCGGAGGAGATGCCACAAACAAACAAACACCAACGTCGTATAATCCTTATTTTTTACATAGTTTTATAACCTCTTGGGAAACATGCTTGATATGTAAAACAATCTGCAATGATAGTAATTGTGGGAAACTAAAGTATTTTCACCCAAGTATTTCACGTGATGAATATTCGTTTGGATACTGTTGAACATGCAGATGTTGGTAAAAGAAACACATATATCTACTCACATTTTGAATTAATGCATACTACCATTTAATAAATGCACTTCATATCGCTTCGAAATTTTCGAATTTCGCTTAGAACAATTACTCTTCTTTAGAATCAATGGCAATGTATCAGATTTTTTTAAGTTCTTTGCGTTACTTGCAGTAGCCATAAATTAAGAGGTGGAGTAAGATATAACCTTGAGCAGTTGAGCTCAATAAATGCATTCTATTACAATCAGAATCGTCAGGGTAAAATTAACACTTGAAAATTTTATATGTAGTAAGTGGTGAAGTCTCCTGTTAGCATCTTGATTATGTTAAAAATCTATTGCATGACCTTACTTGTCAATGGAAAAGTTGTAAGTCAGGAAAGATTATAGTAAATCAACATTCTTCCGTTTCTTCGTATATATGGTATCCATGGGAGTAAAATAGCTAGCATATTGCGGTTTTCGCCAATCGCACGTGCAATTAACCTCGGCAGTGATTCAACCATTTTTACTTTCATCACAATACTGTACGTCAGTATCATGATTTAGTTAAAAGAAAAGTTGCAATTTTAACCAATATTGAAATATTTTGACCACTTTTTGTATCCAGAAAAAGATAAATAGATTACGATGACTTAAACTGTACCATGGTATGTAACTCATTAATTAATACGCAGATTTATTTTCTAATCTGGTTATGAAGATAATCCACAATTTGGTACTCCAGGCTCAGTCGGTGATAGTGAACCAATTAACATAGCTATATCCCTAAACGGATAAAATAAGTTTAACGCCAACGGAATTTATACGGAAACAGATCTTGAATAACCCTGGCCTTGAGTTGTCAGGCTTTCGTCAATTTGTCCACAGGCCAACTTTCAGCATGTTAGTTGGTCTTAGTTCAGTCATTACAGAGAAATACTATACCGGCACATACTCCCCATTGACTTTAGAACTTTCCTAAACAGTCAAGTCGCCAAAAACTCCTTGCAGGCTCTGTCATGCAGAAGACAGTTAACTTGTCCCCAAACACAACCTGACTTGTCTTTTTGTGGTAGCAAAATTGACCAATAAATTAACAATCATTATAGTCAGAAACATGTAAATTATGTAAGTTTACATGAATGCACTCTTGGGTCAGAAATTTTGCGGTGTTGAATTAAATTACCAATTATAAATAGCGAGTTTTCTTAATTCTTTTCCGTAATCACAAATGTTGAAAACTGCTAGACAACCGTATAAGACGGTAGCATCTTATTGGCCTGTACAAAGAGGTTGATTTGTGAATTATACGATAGAGTAAACGAAGAGCGTGTTCACGGAATTACTAGTAAAAACGCATTAGGTAGGATGGCACCCCCATCTTGATCGCCCTCCGTCTTGCGTATTTAACTGTCCTCTACTATCCATACATTACCATCACTATCTCTACGTTACCCTTAGTATCCATAATAATTTGGATTTATGCCTTTGCAAACAAGATCGGGGCTGGAATTTTGAATTTCATTTATTAAGCCCAGGGCGGGTATATATCATGTCCACATGCGATATGTTTCCAAACACTTTTTCGCGATGATTTGTAATTTAAAACAAATCAAATTTTGACGGTTGTTATCTTGCTCATGTTTTGTATATAAACCAATTTGGCTTTATCACGCCATGTGACTAGGCCTTTTCCGCATTTCTGGGTGGCAAACCGTGATGTTGGATGTGAATGTAATTCTAAAGAAATGCTTATTTCCGGGTATAGATAAAAGACGGACGCGCACGACAGACAACGCAGCATTTTATAAACATATGATTACTACTGCGCAACTTATTATATAATACCTTAAATTAAAGTATATCACCAGCCTTGCATCTGTAAAATGAATATATTTACGTTTATTACTTTTAGATTTTACCTTTAACTAAATATATTGGTAGTTAGCCAGCTAAAGATTACATTTTATAGAGTTTCAAATATTAGACCAATCGTTTTACGAATGAGGCTTATGTGATTTATGAAAAATCAAACTACAGTACTACTGTTTAAACTACTATTTTTTAAGTGCTTTTTCTTTATCAAGGTGTTTCAGCTCACATTATCTAAAGAAAAAATAAAGTTTTAATTTCCAGAGAAAACAGCAAGGTCGTCATTGTTATCATTTCATTGTATATGTTATATAAGGAATAGTTTGTTGACTGAACATACATGCAGTGAGCGAAAAATAGTTTAACCGAACTTGTGCGAAGGATTTTGAAACCAAACGGTTCCGCCTATCCACGCGGGACCAACTCCGTAAGGCGTAATTGTTCATGTAAACACCAGTGGGAATGGTCTAATCTTCATACGATTCCAACTTTGTGAAATAATGGGGGTTGCAAATTTAAGAGGCAGTCCGTGTAAAAACCGAGGCACTCGAATTTCTTAAGATTACAGAATTCCTTCATACTTTCTGTGTGGAAGAAGTCATTCATAAAATGAACAAAAAACGTTGACTTTGGAATTGTAGTCAGTTTTAATATTTTTTTCGCAATTATTTTCGGACGCGTTCGAAAACAAGTTGATTAAAACGTTAATCATGCACGCAAGTGATATTTCAGCTTTTTTATATCTCACAGTTCATCTCGCGCTTTTATTCTATCTTCTTGAAACTTATATATTTTATTATTTCCTGCCTAGGCATAAACCTAAACTAAAAATTATCCTGATCACTTGAAGCAAACAAAATATTGTGATTTTTTAAAAACGTCTTGCAGACAGCGGATTAAATATTCGTGTTAGTATGCCGGCGGTAAATTTTTTTCTCAAATTATGACATTATGACAGTATTATGACACATCTACTAGAATAAAGAATAAAAGCTTTGGGCAGTGTGTTTTTCGCCTGACAAGCGCGTCATGAATATAGTCAATTTTCGCTAATTCGACTAATTCTAAGCTATAATTTGTTTATGTATTTACTTATATTTTTCGCGTTAAAAACATACAAAACTGTTTACTATGTTTCAAATATGGCTGTTTTTGGATAGAGAGTAAGTTATAAATATGCCAGCAATTATATATGCTTGAAATTTTACGTTTATGGGTATCATTAAATACTACATGGTATATATATAAACAAAAATGTATAAGCCGAAAAGGGCGGGAAAGGATATGTGCATGTGCCAATTTAATATAGAATGCCTTGAAAGAGCACTTTTTTTCTCATCATAGACATAGTGCAGATTTATTTTCTCACTATAAAATTAAACTAATATTTCTGATCATACATGTTTAAAGTGCCTATGCAACGAAATTTTCACCTCATTTTTTATCGTTTTTCTAAAAAGTACTGCTGGAGTGATGAAGAATGACGTTTACAGTTTCGTCATATCTCATCTCATTCTCAAGTTATCGCACTTTCTATATTTTGAGTTGTGACGTCACAAGTATGAGTTGAGATAATGGCAATAACAAGAAAGTATGATATCTTGGTGACTATTTAATAAAATTCAATGAAACTTGGTACCCTTAGCTTAGTGGGTGCAACAAAGGCAACAATTTGACTACTTTTTATGGTTGTTATGGCAACACACACGTCCCCAGTCCCTTCTCTTCCAATTTCTATATGATCCATTTCCAACGAAATAAATAGCAATTTCTGCAATTTTCGCTTATTACTATAATAAGTGTAGGTATTGTGATCAGTTTAAACAGCTATAATATGTAAACATCCTCTGCAAGAGGTCTACAGGAGAAAAGTTGTGAAAAGGAAGATAAGAGATTGGGGACTAGTGTGTTGCCATGGCAACCGCATAACCTGCCAAAAATATTCATATGGGTGCACCCACTAAGTGTACCAAGTTTCATTGAATTTTATTAAATAGTCACCAAGATATCATACTTTCTTGTTATTGCCATTATCTCAACTCATACTTGTGACGTCACAACTCAAAATATAGAAAGCGTGATAACTTGAGAACGAGATGAGATATGACGAAACTGTAAACGTCATTCTTCATCACTCCAGCAGTACTTTTTAGAAAAACAATAAAAAATGAGGTGAAAAATTCGTTGCATAGGCACTTTAATATTTTCATCTTTTTTAAGAACTGCAATTACATGCTGATCTCGGTTAAGGTCCTGTCACACTATTGCGTATATATGAGATCAACGTATGAGTAGCGTAAACCATCCATGCATACGTCCGCATACTCGAAATTTTTTTAACCATGCTTATACCTAACGTACCCCTAACGTATGTAGGCGTATGATTGAAATTTTCCATACACTCAGGGCCATTACGGAAAATTTTGCACCAATAAACAGGTGGAAGCACGGTTCGAGGGATGGTTCCCCGATTTTTAAATAGACACCTTACGATTTAGGACGGCAACGGCTACCAATACAATAAATAATTTAAAAAATTGAATAATTACGATATGTGAATAATTTAGACATTGTCCTCGCTTTGTTTACAACGCCAAATCACAGATTTTCACGTCTTGATACAACGGCTGCATGCATTTCAAACCGCAACAAGTGCAACTTCAAACATAAAACCCATGTCTTCAACTTCTAAGACTGTATTAAATTCATACGATTGCTAATATACCACGAACTGTCTTTACTACCATTTATTTGAAGGAGTTTGTTTTGGCCGTCGTCGTCGCGTTGCCGTCCTAAAATCGTAAGGTCTCTATTCTCTAATAACCCCTCTGTGCGATCCTTGCCGTTAGATGCCTCTATATATACGCCCTTTACTGCTCCGCCCTTTCAGTCAGATTATGACAGTCTTGGTTCATTTATTTGTTTGAGAATATTAAGTTTCACTTTGACTTAATATATGCACTTACTACATGTTTCGTCGGTTTTAATATAGCCTAATAGCTCAAAGCGACAAGAAAGAAATTCGTTTTTTACATCAAAACGTTTTTGTATACCCAGCCATGTATTAAAGTTGATTGTTTATAGATTCTAATTTCGTACCTTGTCTCTCTATGCACATGAGAGCAATATAAATGTATAGTAGTACACTCATAGGCGTACGGGATTCATATCTATTGGAGGAGCTGTGGTCTATATTGCCCGAAAATATTTGGGCCCATTTCTTGACTTTTCTTTGGGGGATTTTACCCTCCCCCCTCCCCCGAATTCAACAAGTTAAGATTGTAATGATTTTACGATATAAATATACTGTTAAGAAAGCGAAGAAAAACTTGAAATTACGCGTTGACCGACTTCAAGCGATGACGGGGATTATATATGAACCGCTTTTCACGCGAAAAACATTACTCTCTAATAAATTGTATAATATACTTTCTTCTAATATTCTCTTCTGATAGATGTGTACATTCGGAGGAAATCGGTGCATATAGTTTTAGTTACCAAGATCAGTATGTTTACAATGCTTTCATACACTGATAAATAATAAAAAGATAATACCGGCGGATAAAATTAGCAACGCGTGAATGTCAATTTCAGTCGGCACATGCGTCAAGACTTTTGCTCTATGTTATAAAGCTAGCATAAATGCTGGCATATTTATAACTTAGTCTCTATCCAAAAAACAGCCATATTTGAAAGATAGTGAACAATTTTGTATGTTTTTAACGCGAAAAATTTAAGTAAATGCATTAACAAATTATAGCTTATAATTAGTCGAATTAGCGAAAATTGACTATATTCATGACGCGCTTGTCAAGTGAAAAACACACTGCCCAAAGATTTTATTATTTATTCTAGTAGATGTGTCATAATACTCAGTAGCTGCAATAGATTGGATACCTGATACCGTTGCACTTTTGAGAAAAAATAATTTACCGCCGGCATACTAACACGAATATTTAATCCGCTGTCTGCAAGACGTTTTAAAAAATCACAATATTTTGTTTGCTTCAAGTGATCAGGATAATTTTTAGTTTAGGTTTATGCCTAGCCTAGGCAGGAAATAATAAAATATATAAGTTTAAAGAAGTTAGAATAAAAGCGCGAGATGAAAGTGAGATGTAAACTGAGCTCAAATATCACCGCGTATAATTACGTTTTAACTTCAGTTTCGTACGCGTCCGGAAATAATAGCGAAAAAAATTTAAAAACTGACTACAATTCCAAAGTCAACGTTTTTTGTTCATTTTATGAATGACTTCTTCCACACAGAAAGTATGGAAGAATTCTGTAATCTTACGAAATTGGAGTGGTAATTGGTTTTTACACGGACTGCCTGTCAGTTGCTGAAAATTTCAGCCGGCGAAATTATTTGGCAAACGTAATGGAAATTTGCTCCGAAATTGCTACCCCAGTCCATATCGCAACTACCACATTGGAAAGTGTCCATCAGGGGTGGAAAAATTTCTTTCTTTCTGGGAACCTGGGTCGAAGGCTAGAAATTTTCTGTAAAATTTGTAATGTTACAATTACAAAAATAACAAAACAAATGCATAATTATTGTATTATTTGTACTTTAGTAATAATGGGCTTTAGGCTACCCTGGTTGCCAGAGGTTCTGTATCTTTCGCCTTATTCCCGCTCGTATATTTATTTTACGCGAGGCATATGACCAGAGGTTCTCTTCGCCTCGCGTAAAATAAATATACGAGCGGGAATAAGGCGAAAGATACAGAACCTCTGGCAACCAGGGTAGCTTTAGGCTGGTTTTCGTACGCTTGTACATCACAATAGTTGTCTGTTATATACCACAGTTATGAGTTGTGACCAACTAGTAAGGATCTTGATTTTTTCTGTGTTGGTGTTATAGTCAGGTCTCTTAGGGTCTTGATCGTTACAGAGCTGACAAAAGCACCAAACTTGGCATAGTTGTAGCTTATGGTAGTACTATCAATGTTAGAGGGGGAGCCCAACGTAAATATTCCATTGAGGGGACATACGGAGGATTTACTTTTTTCAAATTTCACGAATTGGGCTCCCTGTGGTACTTATTTTAAATATATTTATCAAATATATAAAAACGTTTTAAATACA